ATGGGTATTCTCTGTTGGTGAGCTGGTCCGGGTATCTAGTGGAAAAGAGTTTCTTATCCCTTTGAAAAGTCCATCGTGTACGAATTGTCTGCCAGTGTCTCTCTGCCAACTGCTAATAAAAGTCCAAGATGTGTCCGGTAAACCAAAGCAAGCTTGTCGCTCGGTCGTCCAGGCATGCGGACTGTTCTAATTACGCAGCCGTGGCGGCTTCTTATCTCACAGTACCTCCTTCGAAACCACCAAGTCGTCTTGTCTCTGGCCGAAAGTATAACACCATCCGGTAATTCTGTGCGGCGGGGAAGCAGCCCTGAGCTTCATGAACTCAGGTGGGCCCACCTCCGAATACGTTAGGAATCGTGGGCCGAAACGTGTGTCGAAAGAGGATAATTTCTACTGATGACTGTAGATCCCCGCTGTACTTGCTCCCTGTGAGTTTATTCTTATTGTACGTGGCTAGCCCACAAGACTACCAGGAAAGACTGGTGACTATCGGGAAAGACCTTTTGACACCTTTGGAAAGACTGGCCCCCCGGTATCGCCGGGGGGATAAACTGACATCTGGAGACAGATGTCGACTGTGGACCGGGTTGATCACCCCTAACACAGTATAATACCTCCGATTTCGTACGACCACAATGAAATATGCCCCCAGGGCCCTCCGAAAGGGGGGGGAGAATGAAAGGCCCAATCTGATTGATACCCTCGTTGACGACCTTGCTAGCCCCCGGACTGAGACACTCGCCCAACGTCCGGGCTGGCTCTGTACATGTGGGAAAAGCTTCACGGGGTTGCATGGTCTGAGAACGCATGCCGGAAGAATGAAATGCGAGGGTGCTCCACGCAGTAAACGCCGTCGCAAAACTACTACTCCTGTGGTAGTTTCTGAGTCGTTAGGGAACGACGGGCAGGGGGAACCCCACTCGCCCGGAGAGGCCCATGACGTCGACTGCGGAGGAGCACCTTTGATGATTTCTGAAGAAGTGCGTTCCAGAATCAGGTTTCCACCTGCGAGCGAGAAGGTGGTGTGGTGTAAGTTGGAGGTTACATTATGTGAGGTACTTAAACAAACTCTAAACAAGAAGCCGCTAGGCGACAAGCTTACAAAATTTGGTGATGTAATTTATGAACACTGCTCCCGCGAGTTCGGGACAGTAGTAAAGGCACAGCCGGGTGCCAAGCAGAATACTAGCAGGAGGCAGAGGGACATTCTGAAGTGTCGGGCAGACAAGAATGCCCTCAGAAAACGGTTCAAAGCCGCTACGGGCAGCGAACGGGAGGGGCTGTACGAAGTGTGGGTGCACTTAAAGAACAAACACAGTGCCCTCTGTCGCGCCGAGCGTTTCTGTAACAACAGACGTAGAACCAAAAGGGAGCGAGAGAAATTCTTTAGGGACCCGTATCAGTTTGCCCGAGGTCTATTCGAGCAACCGAAGTCTGGGACTCTGGTTGTCAGTCAGAAAGAACTTGAGCTACATCTAAGCAAGATGTACTCTGATAAGAAGAGGAGAAAGCCTCTTGATGACAATCCAGAGATCCTTAGCGGACTCAAACAGCCTTCGGTGCCGAAGGTACCATTTAAAATGGTACCTCCCCTTTGGTCTGAGGTTGAAGATGTTGTGAAAAAGGCCAGCGGCAAGTCTGCCCCAGGTCCGAACGGTGTCCCGTACGTTCTTTACAAGCGTTGCCCGAAAATCCTAAAAATGCTTCACGTCTTGCTGCGACAAGCGTGGATCCGCAATCACATATGTCCAGAGTGGTCAAAGGCAAATGGGGTCTACATTCCCAAAGAGCAGGACTCGAAGAGTCTTTCCCAATTCAGGCCCATCTCGCTGTTGAATGTTGAGGGTAAGATATTCTTCTCAGTCATGGCTCGCCGGCTCACACAGTATCTGATGACTAACAAGTACATAGATACGAGTGTTCAGAAGGGTGGTATTCCAGGCGTTCCTGGGTGCCTTGAACACGCGACCATGATCTGGGAGGCTATCCAGAGAGCCAAGCATGAGAGAACCAATTTGCACGTTATATGGTTGGACTTAGCCAACGCCTACGGGGCAGTCCCCCATAGGCTACTGTGGCGAGCCCTTCGCATGTTTCACGTACCGACACAGATCAGTCAAATGGTCGAGCAATATTTCTCCAAGTTCGCTTTGCGCTTCTCTACCTCGACGTTTACCACGAGGTGGACTGAGTTGCAGATTGGGATAGCTATGGGGTGTACGATCTCACCTATACTGTTTGTCATGGCAATGCAGATCATGTTTAGACGGGGCGGCCGGCTACGGACTGGGCCTTCAAATAGGGGATCACTGGTTACCGCCACTGCGCGCATTTATGGATGACACGACTATTATAACGGGCAGCGAGGAGTCTGCCCGCACGATCCTGAAAAGATTGGACGCGGTGGTCCAATGGAGCGGTATGCAGTTCAAACCGCAGAAGTCGAGGAGTCTGTCAATCCATAAGGGCAAGGTGTCGGCGACCAGTTTTACGGTGGCAAGGAACAAGATCCCTACGGTTCTGGAGGAACCTGTGAAGAGTCTCGGTCGCGTTTACGATTCGAAGTTATCTGACAGAGCGGAAGTCCGGCGAATACATGAGTCACTGGCTACAGGCCTACTCGCGATCGAGCGATGCAGGCTGATCGGAAAATTCAAGGTATGGTGTCTCCAATTCATGTTGATTCCAAAGCTCCTATGGCCACTGCTAGTCTACGAGGTGACGATGACTGCAGTTGAAACCATGGAGAAAAAAATCAACACAGCCTTAAGAAAGTGGATTGGAGCACCGCCTTGTCTGACCGACGTGGCTCTGTATTGTAAGCAGGCTAAGCTGGTACTTCCGTTCAAGTCGATAACCGAAGAGTTTAAAGTCGGCAAAGTAAGGCTCGCCATGCTTCTGCGTGAGTCTTCAGACCCAAATGTCACCGCTGTCCAGCCCGCTCTAAAGACTGGTACCAAATGGAGGGTCCTCGATGCAATTGAATCTGCTCAGAACGCACTAAAATTGAAGGAGGTGATGGGTTACACACAAACCGACCGTCGAGGCCTAGGGCACGGGAAAGTCAATTGGTGGTCAAAGGCCTCAGCCAAAGAGCGCCGAGACATGGTGATACAAACGGTGAGGGACAACGAAAACGAGGTTCGGGTTCAGAAAGCAGCCCAACAGTCGAAGCAGGGCCATTGGGTCAGCCTGGAGAGCGCATTGCCGAGAATACTCACATGGGGTGAGATCTGGCGGATGACCCCGCTGCGACTGAGCTTTATCGTTCGTTCGGCGTACGATGTATTACCGTCCGGTGTTAACATGGTTAAATGGTCTGCGACCAACGATCCGACTTGCCCGTTGTGCAAATCAAAGCAAACTCTTGAGCACGTCCTGTCCGCGTGCAGGAAAGCTCTAGGTCAAGGCCGATATACCTGGCGCCACAACAAGGTGCTAAAGGAGTTAGCAGCCGTTGTCGACCAGGCTAGAATGAGGGCTAATGCCAGAGCCAGTTCTAGTATCGTCCCCATTCGTTTCCTCAAGGCTGGGCAGGTTCCAAAAGGTAATGTCAACAAAAACGCATTCGCTCCATCTGTGCTAGACTCTGCGAGGGACTGGTTACTGGCGGTTGATCTGCCAGGACATGAACGGTATCCCGAGTTGATCCGTAAAACCGGCCTGCGACCGGACATCGTTCTCCATTCTGCGCAAAAACGGCAACTCATCGTGATTGAGTTGACGGTCCCGTTTGAGTCGCGGATGGAGGAGAATCATTTGTATAAGCTCGAGAAATACAGTGATTTAGCAGCCGGTTTGAGGAGAAACGAGGCTTACACAGTGCGGGTATTTGCCGTCGAAGTGGGAGCGAGAGGCCTCGTTTCCACTTCGCTCTACAATGTGGTTAAAGAGTTAGGATTGCGCGGTAATGAACGGAAACGGGCACTCAAAAAACTTGGTGAGGTGGCCGAAAGGGCATCCAGCTGGCTTTGGACGCAGCGCAACAACGTAGGGGACGGGCCTCGGTGAGCTGGTCCGGGTATCTAGTGGAAAAGAGTTTCTTATCCCTTTGAAAAGTCCATCGTGTACGAATTGTCTGCCAGTGTCTCTCTGCCAACTGCTAATAAAAGTCCAAGATGTGTCCGGTAAACCAAAGCAAGCTTGTCGCTCGGTCGTCCAGGCATGCGGACTGTTCTAATTACGCAGCCGTGGCGGCTTCTTATCTCACAGTACCTCCTTCGAAACCACCAAGTCGTCTTGTCTCTGGCCGAAAGTATAACACCATCCGGTAATTCTGTGCGGCGGGGAAGCAGCCCTGAGCTTCATGAACTCAGGTGGGCCCACCTCCGAATACGTTTAGGAATCGTGGGCCGAAACGTGTGTCGAAAGAGGATAATTTCTACTGATGACTGTAGATCCCCGCTGTACTTGCTCCCTGTGAGTTTATTCTTATTGTTGATTTTCGCTAGCACGGGAACGGGAGTGGCCGATTACCTATAGCTTTCAAGAACACGCTAGTAAAACTTGCAACTTCCAGTAACTTGTTTGTCTCTTCTTGTTTGTGTGTCTACCAAATTATCAGTTACCTTTAGTATTAATGAGTGAACCCCAAAGGTGCCTGAAGCTGGGAGCAGACGTTTGATAATAAATCGGGGATCCTCGTGGTAAAGTGGTTAAGCTATTGCATCGCGCTCTGAGAGTCGTGGGTTCAATTCACGGCTGCCTGGTTTGGTTCACCAGTCCGATTATTGCGGACATCACTTGAGCTCATCGTCAGAGCTACGGAGTTTGTACGTTGTGTAGCGCTTTCAGCAGACGGCTAGTAGCTCTAGGAAGAAAAACCGATCCATTTAGGATTAAACCTGACGCAATGAAGTCGATTTCCAGACTTTCAAGCATTAATCTGTATAATGCATGTGCAATAAAAAGCATCTGTACTTTAAGCTTATGTGAAAAAAAGAGCAAAGGAAATTACCGAAAATGAAGAAGAAAACATTCATTTTGAAGAAGCTACTCACCTCTCTCTTCAATAATGTTCCCGTCTTTGTTGAAGAATCTGGAAATTTCCACTCGACACAGCCTCCATAAACCGGTGTAAGCTTCTATGAGATATTTGCCAGTGTTGTTGCCAACGAGACCTTGACTGGGAGCATCAAGAATCAGCCACGAGTCGGTGGAGATGGCGATGATTTGCAGAAAGACTCCTAGGAGAGTGACCCCTGTGGTTATGACCAGAAGCCGGGGTTCTAGCCAGGACACCGCTTTGCTCTTGTAAGAACTTTTCTGTCTTTGGGGCATAGATCTTCGACTGCCTTTCTTACTGCCCCTCTTGCTGCCCTTCTTGCTGCCTCTTTTGCTGCTGCTGTTGCTTCTTTTAGAGCTTGTCCTTTTGGGAGTCGGCGTAGTTGCTGGAGGATCCATTTTAAAGGTGCGATCCTCAGTGAGCGCCACAGAAGTACACAGAAGAAAATTACACTAAACTGATGGGTAATAACTTTACAAGCCCAAGCTTCAACAAACGGTGTCTTTGGCATAGGCGTTATAACGTCTGTTACATAATTCTCCCATACAAGATTTATTAGCCAGCTGCGGGCGATATGACAACAGGCAGCTTTGTGTCGATTTTGACACTTTGATCTTCAACTGTTGAACAGAAAAGTCGAGAAGTTCAGACAGCAAACATATGATGTGGTTTGGTTTGCGATGTTTAAAACGAGTTTTCAAGAATTTGTTAGTTTGACAGTGTTGCTATACAGTTGATGGCGCGCGGTATTGAATGAACACGATACCGCCTGCTTTGTCTTCAATCATTTACTAAACATCTTATTCTGGCAACATCTTGGGGGCCAGGAACACGTTCACAGCGTTCTGAAGCTGAACAGTCACATGTGAACCTCTTCCAAGATCAAATGGTGAAAACCCTGAAAATAATCGTTAAAAATAAATTTGATTAAGAGTGTCATAAATGTTATGGAAACCAGAACAATCAAATACAATGGTTCTGAATAGAATGATCGAAAAGAGAGTTAAACATACAATAAAAGTAGCACAAAAACCACATAAAAGCCAAAAGATGCGGCGCGCGTGTGTGTGTTTGTGTTTTTTTTTTTCTTTTTTTCTTTTACGAGGTCTTGAAAATGATGTGGAATTTTTTTAATGACTGCTTGGTGTTATAGTAACGTTGTCCGACCAAGAAAGAGAGTGATTTCCCCTGCCATTCATGCCTCGTAGTGCCGCAGTTCCTCTCCTATTTTGCGGAGGTGTCGCGCTTAGCATTTTACAAATGATATCGCGTGTTCTGTATTCCAGGATGTGAACGTCTTCAACAGTCTCAAAACATCTAGAACTGGTCCTAACCTCCACCTTACCCCACAGCCTCAGCCTACGTCCCACGACTGTGTGCAGCCTATTGTTATAGCTGCACGCAGTCGTGGAACGTAGGCTGCACTCTTCGTGGGACGTTAGTTGAGGCTGCGGGGTAAGGGGGTTGGGGTTAGGGCCTTTGCTGGATGTTTTGGGACTGCTAAAAGCGCTCACATCATGGAATACAGAACACGCGATATCGCCACCTGCTGACAACAACGAGTAAAATACTACGTGTTGCTGGGCGGTCACTTAGCGTGACACACCAGCAACTTAGGACATGCCCTGCGAAACTAGGAGACGTGAATGGCAAGAAAAAGTAACTCTCTTTCTGGGCCAGACAACGTTAAAAGCACCCTGCTTGGATTTTTATTTCACATACACGGATGTAAGTCATGGACTATCAGGCAGACTTTAATGAAGAAAATATGGGCTTTTGAGCGGAAATTCTGTAGAATAATTCCAAGAATACCGTGGCCAAAAAGAAAAGAAAAAACTGACATCCCAGAATATCTGAACATCAAGGAAGATTGGCTAGTAAACAGCATCTTGTCTCAGAAACTGAAACATTTTTAATTATATCAGGCGCAACGGATCTGGAAAGAACAGTAGCAGAAAGCACGGGGCCAGGAAAGATGGGCAGGAGTCGACAAGCATAAAGATGGGAACATGATATAAGTGACTCCTTGGGTAGGAAAGTGAACAAGGCGGGAGACAAAGTTTGTTTCAGGCGGGCTGTGATGAGAGCGACGTTCTGCAAAGCAACTGTTACATGAAGTGCATTTTTCAATCACTCACGTCCTGACGCCCTTTGCGTCCCTTCCAGACAGTACTGAAAGGCGAGGGACCAACAGTCTCCATACAAATCAGACAGCTCAGTAAAACGAATGTGCACGCAACACTCAAGTCCCGGAACAAGAAGAAGAAGAAGAAGAAGAAGAAGAAGAAGAAGAAGAAGAAGAAGAAGAAGAAGAAGAGAAGAAGAAGAAGAAGAAGAATAATAATAATAATAATAATAATAATAATAATAATAAGAAGAAGAAGAAGAAGAAGAAGAAGAAGAAGAAGAAGAAGAAGAAGAAGAAGAAGAAGAAGAAGAAGAAGAAGAAGAAGAAGAAGAAGAAGAAGAAGACAATCACATTGTTCAGTTATCACAAAATAATAAAAATTGGGTTGATAAATACCACATACAATCAGAAAAACGAACAACGTTCAATGTCCGCCTATTTTGTTTCCTTGTCACAGACGAATGAACCTAGACAAATTTAAAAAAAAAAAACGGCCAATACAAGTAAAGGCCTTAAAATACAAACCAGAACAGAAGACGGGGAAATAAATATTAGATGTCCATATCGGATGTGTTATTTCGTTCAGTTCTTTCTCTGGGCGGGCAGTGTAAACGCATGTGGTGGCACGAATAGACAGCAATTTTTATTTAAAAAAAAAAGCATCAGGGTGTCTATTAAGTTTTCATACCCGGCAGAAATAAATATATCACCAATGTCATTACGTCAAACTCCAGCTGTGCTTATGTGTGATCTTTAGTTCTAGACGCCGTTATATATCGGCGAGTGGGCGGTCCATTGGCTGGTCGGTAGACGACTTTGTTTACGGTCTGGACAGTATTTGGGTCTCTGTCTCCTGTGATCGCAGCAACACTGCAGGAGTCCTTTTCATGGCTACTTGGTGGCGAGCAATTTATGGCGTGAATAACCCAAGTCACAATTGTAACCAAAAGCTCCCCTTTTCGGGGATGCTGGTTGAAATTGAGATTGTTTTTTCTCTCCAAAAGCGGATGTATGGTTGGGGAAGACGGAAGGGGGAGGGGGGGGGGCATGTATCGAAGTGTGTTTCAACGGTAGTTAGGTAGAGAAAAACATTGACATTCTCAACCAGTTAAACATCTAGGAGAACTGGCTCATAAACAGCATCCTGTCCTGAAAGTTGAAGTATTTTGTCCACATCAAACGTTATGGTGGCTTGGAAAAGACGGTGTTTGCGGGCGCAGTTTGTGGAAAGCCAGGCAGGGGACGACCACCGCGAAGATGGATACAAGACACTGAAGATGAATTGGCATTGAAAGCACATGGCGCTGGAGATCTGGCTGAGGAAAGCGATACTTTGAGGTCGGCCGTGGAGAGAGCGACGTTCTGTAAAGGACTTACTGACTGACGATGAATCATGCAGCCACGGTCGGTGTTCGAAACCGGGCGGGTTCTGGGGTTCACCCAGCCTCTAGGAAATGGGTACCAGAGTTGGCACTCGGGGGTGAATGGAGGAACGTCGCTGTAGCTACGGGGTTACGTGCGAACGGCGACACAGGCGGACAGTTTCTTATCAGCGGTCCTTACTGATGGCAGAGCACTTATGATTTATATCCGTGTGCAATGACGCTGGTTCACATCTCCCGACTTTACCTTTACCTTTACAGAACAAACTGATTTATGTGGACATTTCTGAGAGACCCTGTATATGTGTTGTTTAAATGTTTAGTTTAGGCTACTGACTGCGTGTGTGCTGGTCCAGAGATCGATGTCTGAAAGCTCGTTTTGTCCAACGTCACCATTTTCATTTCTCCCTCTTGGGGGAGGGGGGGGGGGGGGTAGTAGGGGAGTCTGAGTGGTCTCGAGTGTTGGAAGTCCCGGGTTCAGGCCCCTGTAATAGCTGGAAGTTTTTCAAGTGGGATTCTAGTAATTCCCCATTGTATCTGGGTAGTAAGATCGACGATGAATGACAATGAGTCATATGGAGTGTAGTATATGAAGAACAATTGGTTTCGTTAAATAACAAATTGCTTTGTTTGGAAGTTTACCAAAGGCCCTGTATTTTAGGCAGTGGTCCAGATCGATGTGTGAAAGCTTGTTTTCTCTAGCGTAGTGACAGTCACCATTTTTATTTCAACCTCTTGGAGGGCTGAGTGATCTCGAGGCATGGCGTCCGCCTCTAGTACTGGAAGTCACGGTTCCAGGTCCCGGTGGAGGCTGAGGTTTTTTCACTTGAACTTCTAGTAATTTCCCATACTCTCTTGGGAGAGAGATTGGACCCCCGTGTGAATTGTTGCGCGCGTTTAAAAAAAGTCAATTGTCAGTTGAAAATCGAAAAGAGTAGCCTAGCGGCGCTGCCCGGGCACAATTTAGAATTACAAATCTATCTAAAGTATTTCAGGTTCTTCGCCGGTGCCACAGAGTTCGTGCACTGCGATGAGACTCTTCGGACTCAGGTTTGAGAGAAATAGAACGGAGCACCCCTGGGTCACTACCCTTGGGCCATGATGTTGATCCATTGAATAAACCATTTCCCCTCTCTTTACACTGGATGAAACGATGATTATTATAATAATGATGACGATGATGATTTAAAAAAATATATACTAGTAGTAAGTAAAGCAGTGATTCCCAAACTGTGCGCCGCGGCGTCTTTACAGGGGCGCCTGCAAATATTTGAAGATAACTTTTTTTTTTTTTTTAAATTTTTTACAAAGGATTAGTGATACTTTCAGTTAGGTTAGGGCGCCGTGGAAAAATTTTAATTGAAAAAGGGCGCAGCGACTAAGACAAGTTTAGGAAACACTGGAGTAAAATAAAGATCCATTTTCACGCCTTCAGGCGCATCGGGCATATAGGAAGAGTACCCATATCTTTACAGACTAATCGGCACTAGATGGGTAATGTGGTCAGCATTACACCGGTCGTCTTTACTTCCCCAGGGATATACACCATAGTACCCATTTAAAGCGGGGTCGACCTGCGACGTCCTATACCATGATAAAAATCCACGCACCCAGTAGTGGGTTTCGATCGCGGTATGCTGGGATTACGAGTCGGACTCGCAACGCCTAAGCCATTGACGCCGCTACCAGTTGTAGCTGCAGTACAAAGGCCTGACCAAAAATATTGAAACTAAAATGAGAGGAAGTCAAGAGGGGTGAAGAAATAAAAGAAATATCTCGACAACCAGTTGGTGACAACTCTAAGACAAAGAAGGCGGCGCTATATTTGAGACATCCTGGGAAGAAACCAGCCGCAGATTGCTAAAGAGGATTTGGGGGGGGGGGGGGG